TGCTCACTTGAAGGACAGATCCTGAAGCTGAGGCTCCAGTACTTTGGCCATCTCATGAGAAGAAAAGAGTCCTTGGAAAAAACCTTGATGTTAGGAAGGTGTGATGGCAAGAGGAGAAGGGGACGACCGAGGATGAGATGGCTGGACAGTGTCTGCGAAGCAACCAACATGAACCTGACACAACTCCGGGAGGCAGTAGAAGACAGGAGGGCCTGGCGTGCTCTGGTCCATGGGGTCACGAAGAGTCGAACACGACTAAACGACTAAACACGAACTTCTCAGATGTTATGGTATTAATAGCCACAAAAGTGGTTCTTCAATGGGCAATTATCGTAAGGAAAGTCAAGAAGTCAGCATGTTGCACATTTCTTCTGAACATGCTTTATTGTATCTTCCTCCATCTAATTTTGTTACACAGTATATCACAGAAGTGAATACACCCCCTCACATTTCATAAACATTTTAGTACGTATATCTTTTCATGTGACAACACTGAAGAAATGACACTTGGCTACAATGTAAAGCAGTGACTATACAGCTTGTATAACAATGTAAACGTGCTGTCCCCTCAAAATAATGCAACACACAGCCATTAATGTCTAAACTGCTGGCAACAAAAGTGAGTACACCCCTAAGTGACAATATCCAAATTGGGCACAAAGGGTCAATATTTTGTGTGGCCACCATTATTTTCCAGCACTGCCTTAACCCTCTTGGGGATAGAGCTCACCAGAGCTTCACAAGTTGCCACTGGAGTCCTCTTCCACTCCTCCATGATGACATCACAGAGCTGGTGGATGTTAGAGACCTTGCACACCTTCACCTTCCATTTCAGGATGAACCACAGATGCTCAATAGGGTTTACGTCTGGAAACATCACCTTTACTCTCAGCTTCTTTAGTAAGGCAGTGGTTGTTTTGGAAGGGTGTTTGGGGTCATTATCATGTTGGAATACTGCCTTGTGGCCCATTCTCCAAAGGGAGGGGCTCATGCGCTGCTTCAGAATGTCACAGTACATGTTGGCATTCATGGTTCCCTCCATGAACTGTAGCTCCTCAGTGCCGGCAGCACTCATGCAGCCCCAGACCGTGACAGTCTCACCATCATGCTTGACTGTAGGCATGACACACGTGTCTTTGTACTCCTCACCTGGTTGCCGCCACACTCGCTTGACACCATCTGAACCAAATAAGTTTATCTTGGTCTCAGTGGACCACAGGACATGCTTCCAGAAATCCATGTCCTTAGTCTGCTTGTCTGCAGCAAACCGTATGCGGGCTTTCTTGTGCATCATCTTTAGAAGAGGCTTTCTTCTGGGACAACAGCTCTGGAGACCAATTTGATGCAGTGTGCAGCATATGGTCTGAGCACTGACAGGCTGACCCCCACCCCTTCAACCTCTGCAGCAATGCTGGCAGCACTCATATGTCTATTTCCCAAAGCCAACCTCTGGATATGACGCTGAGCATGGGCACTCAGCTTCTTTGGTCAACCATGGCAAGGCCTGTTCTGAGTGGAACCAGTCCTGTTAAAATGCTGTATGGTCTTGGCCGCCTTGCTGCAGCTCTGTTTCAGGGTTTTAGCAATCTTCTTATAGCCTAGGCCATCTTTATGTAGAGAAACAATTTGTTTTTTCAGATCCTCAGATAGTTCATTACCATGAGGTGCCATGTGGAACTTCCAGTGACCAGTCTGAGAGAGTGAGACCAATAACACCTGCTCCCTCTTCACACCTGAGATTTGTGACACTAACAGGTCTCATGACACCAGGGAGGGAAAACGGCTTCTTAGGGAACCTGGGTGAGCCTTGGGCACATATACTCCCTTCTCCCTTCCCTTCCCATCACCCAGTGGTTCCCAGCCTTGGGTAACCCAGGTATTCTTGAACTACAACTCCTAGAAACCCCAGGTAGCAGAGATGGTGGTGAAGGCTTTCAAGAATTGCAATCCAACAACACTTGGGTTATCAAGAGTTGGAAAGCTTCTGCTTTCTTCTTTGATTAAATACATTTTTGTCCTACATACGAACCCTAGTAAAGCCTAGCTGTAATTTATTAAACAAATCAGCTTCATAAAACAAGGTGTAAATAGGTTTATTTTGGAATGTCCTAGTTAAGGCTAATCATGCTTTTTCAGATTCCGATCAGCTTTCAAAATGTATATGGTTTTTATAGAGGGGAGAGGAGAAGAATAATAGTTCTGTTTTCTGGTAAGAAGAAGAAAGGGAAGGGTGAATGATTTTAATGCTTCTAGAGACTGATTTTTGTAGAGATAAGGTTGTTGTCACTGAATACAATGACTGGCTTAGAAATACTGACAACTACATGATATCAACATTCTCTTGTCTCAGAGGATTTTTGCATTTGGCATTTTTGTTGTCAAAATATAATATGTAAATGGAGTTGCAATAAAAATGATGATTATCTCTTTGGCATCCCTAGATTTCATCCTAATTTAGGTATATATTTTATATTGATTATTAGCATACATCTGTAGTAATACAAATAGTAACATTCACTATACAGTAATCTTTAAAGCAATCCTATGCATGGCAAATAGCATAGAACTACTCATAAACAATTTAATGGTTAGACTGGACAAAATAGTTTTGTAGTACTGTTTATGGATGCCTTTGTGTGTATGGAATTGAATATAGCTTTATATATTTGCTCATTTTAAAAGTTAATCTGCTTAATCTCTTAACATTCACCAGCTATAACATATTTGTAAAACAAAACAAATCTTCTATTTTTGTTTTGATAATGTAGAACTCACTTTTAGCCCAGAAGGAGACACTGTGGAATATTATACAGTATCTTGAGTTGTAGAATGTAGCTGATGATATAACCCACAGATTTCACAAAAGTATTTTCTGGACTTTAGCTGTGAGACTCTATCAGGAAGAATAGCTGGGGGGGGGGGAATGTTGCCATTTCTACCTTCGAAGTGCACCTGACTTCTGTCTTTTACATGTTAAGCCTTACTGATTCTGAAAGAATTTGTGTGTGTGTAGTATGCTTGCTTAGGATTATAGTAATATATCTTCCCTGTCAACTCTAGGTTTCATTATCTTCCTTCAGCTGGAATTGTTCTTGTTTTCCTTAACAGACATTGTATTTTAATTATTAGCATTTTATTGCAACTGGAATTTGTTTTTGTTTTGGTTGCATTCTTCACATTACTTACTCTTTGGCTGTTACCTTTTCAGTTATTGCTGCTGATAGGATTCATCTGCGTAAGATCTTCGTGGTGGACAGACCGCAGTACATACACCTTTTTTGAAACTGTTTCCATGTTTGACTTAGTTGTAATTCTCATATTCTACATTGTCTATATCTTCAGAGTCTACCGAACACTGACCTGCATTAACTGGCCACTGACCGTAAGTTTTTTTTAATGGCATGATCCCCATGAGTCTTCTGTTGGTAGAATCTGATTTTTGAAGATCTCTGTAATGTGCATTTTCATCAAGTTGGCTGGAGGGGGTCCAGATAGGTTGGCTGCCTACTCAGTGGTCACTGGCTAGGCTAACCAGGGCTGATGGAAGCATTAGGCCAAAAACATCTGAAGGATTATACCTGCCCACCCATGATGTAGGGCTTCCAAGAGCTGGGATAACAGGCTTTGGTTACACATGAATGGTTGGGAGACAAATGCTTTTACAGGATGAGGGAGGATTAGCTAGGACCCAAGAGGAGAGGCGGACTTATACATCATAAGTTCTAATATTGTCATACCCACTCACCAAATGCGGAATGGAAAGCTATGTTCCAATTCCATATCCCTTTCTTTGAGTTAAGTAAGCTGAGGAAGAAAAGCTACATTGGACCAAAACTTCTATGGATATGTTGTGTACATGTTTTCCAAAATATGTCCCTTTGCTTTTTTTAAATTAAAAAAAAAAAGGAAGAGGTTGGAGTTAGCAAAGAATGTCACTGGAAACCAAGGTCCAAATCATCCATACTATGTAAAAGGAAGATAGTGAAAAAAGACAGGGTCAAAAATCAATGTGTTTGAAATATGCTGGTATAGATACTAAAGATAGCCAAAGCGAGTGCTCAATCAAATCAAAAGTGAACTCTCACTTGAGCAAGAATGAGTAACCTGCGTCTATCCTACCAGGCACATATATCGGAAATACAGGTGACCAGAAAAGACTGTATTGCTGTGAAAATGGGTTGGACCAGTAGACAAAGGACATGAAATGGTTGGCTCAATAAAGGAAGCCTCAGCTGTTAGTTTGCAAGATATGAACCGAAATTAATAGAAAAGACAATACTGCTAGAAAGTTGGGGTAGGCAGCAGGAAGCCAGAACAACTTAATGTGAGTTGCTGTTGGTTTGCAAGGTTTGAGCAGACCAAGTAAAACTTACTCATGAGTAAATGGGATAAAGCTTGCTTTGAGGTCATCCCCAGCCACCAAGCAAAACAAAAAAATAAAAAACCCAGTATTTTCACAGCTTAAATGTGAATTTCTGAATTTTATTCTATTTTTAAAATTTATTTTTGAATACTTACAAGTAAACCTGGTAAACGTACTCATGAATAAACTGGGTAAAATTACAAGGAAACCAGGTAGAACTTGCTTTGAGATCATTCTCAGCCACAAAGCAAAAAACAGTAATTCCACAGCTTAAATGAATGAGCTGCTAAATATCATCTAATTTTTGTGTGCTGCTAGTTGTCTGCTAGTATGTTAGTAAAGAAGATGTTAGGATTGTCTGATAAGTATCTGCTATGAAACTGTTATAAGAAGTCTGTCAAACACAAACCAAGATCTATACCAAATCAAATGTTCAATTACTGTTAGCTTATTCTTCAATGTGTTTTAAAGAAAGCATTCTTTATTATGGCTGAATTATTATTCTTTTATCTGCTTTTGTGTTTTTGTGTGTGTGTGCACGCACGTGATAAAGGAGAATATTATTCATGATCTATTTTTTAAATAGTCTTTATTTATTAGATTTCTATCCTGCCCATCTAGACCAAAGGTCTTCTCACACTTAATCTGCTGTGTACAAACTAAAAAATTCAAGAAAAAACAGAGTGCGGGAAAAGAAGTAAGCCACAGCTTTATCAGCAAAACAGTCTCTTTGAGTCTGCCTTTCACATAGGAAATGTTATCTAGATCAGAAAGACTGAATGATTTGAAGTTTCCTTTTTCATACTTGGTTGCAAGTACATAAACTCCTCCCCCACCCACAGTAGGGATGCTTTAGAATTTAGATGAATCATGCTTTACATTGAATGATAAAATATTATCTTCTAAGTTATGTTGTGCTTACCTTTTTTTCCAGGAGTTTCTCCATTATTTAATAGGTACCATCCTGCTTCTCATTGCATCTATTGTGGCAGCAGAAAAATGTGCCAACGTCACAGGACTAGCAGCTGGAGCGGTGAGGCATTTTCTTTCATGTTGTCACTGGTACAGTCTGAACTCAGGGTGGATTTCAAAGGCCATGTAATTTCATCACATGATATGTTACTTCTATATATTCATGCAAGTAAATGTAGTAGAGCATACTTTGAGCAACCACATCCTGGCTGATGGGTGGGTGTGTTGAGAAAGGTCTTCTACAAAACCTTATAGTTTTTCAAAGGTTTAAGCTGTTCTGCAGCATGACAAGAAAGATCCCATCATTGCCCCAATCTTCTTTCATTACTTGAGACTCTTTGTGTGTGTGCGGGGGGCATAGCTTATACAGTGCATAGAGGCTCTCTTGTTAAAAATTAGTCACCCCCCCCCACATCTGAACAAGAATATGGAGTGTTCATTAGACAGCATAGCTGAATAGGAAGTGTAGTTTGTACTGAACAGGTTTATGCAACTTGATGCAAGCAAATTGACATAATACTTGGTCATTGACACATTTAAATTTTGGGTTTAACATGGATAGGATTTTCTGTATTACCTGATTTGGTTCATATGTATCTTTTCCTTTTTTTAAAAACAGGCATTTGGCTTCTTAGCTTCATTTCTGTGTATCTTAAGTATATGGCTATCCTACAAAGTCTCTTGTGTCACTCAGTCAACAGGCAAGTATTCAATCTACTAAATGACATAAACAGTATCTCCACCGTTGTGCACACATTATTTAAACATAAGATGAACAATTTGTAGTTCGCAAACAGGATCAGGAGTATGTCACACATATAGATAAGACATTTGATGTCTAATCTGGTTCACTGAGGGTAGAAGTATTTTAGCTAATCCAATGCATATATAATAGCACCTCCATCTCTGTGGGGGATTGATTCTAAGCCCCACCACCATGCTGAAAAATGCAGATTATGGCAAACACTAGCAAACGCTATATATAGCATGGTCTCTGGCTCCCTCTAGTGGCCAGTTCTGGCAACTTCATCTTTAGAAGTCCCATATTTTTCCATGTATACGACACCCCCACTTTTCTAACCCACTTTTCTAACCCAAAATTAAGAATTCAAATTTGGCTTAGCAAAAGGAGGGAGAAAGGGATCAAAGCAATCCAACAACTGCACGATTGCTTTGATCCCTTTCCCCCTCTTGCAGCACGGCATTGCTTTGATCCCTTTCTCCCCGTAGGACTTAGCAAGTAGAGAGGAAAGCAGGGATCAAAGCAATCCTGCAGCACTTTGATCTCTACTTTCCCCTCCACTTGCTAAGCCTTAGCAAAAGGAAAGCAGGGATCAAAGTGCTGCATTATCGCTTTGATCCCTGCTTTCCCCCTCCATTTGCTAGGGCTTTGCAAGTGAAGGGGAAAGCGAGGATCAAAGCAATAATGCAGCGCTTTGATCCCTGATTTCCCCCTCCACTTGTTTTTGTTCTCTCCTCAGCTTACGTCTGTGTATAAGACAACCCTCAATTTTTAGACAAAAGTATTGTCTTATACACGGAAAATACAGTATGAATTTTTAGGATTTTTCTTTTGATATTTTTAATATTAGCAGACCACAGATAAGTGAATCAGCAGATACTGATTCCACAGATATAGGGGTCCTACTGTATAAGAACTCCATGAGACAGAACAGCAAGAATGAACTTCCTGGAAGAGGGAGACAATACGTTTTTAAATCCATCTCCTGTGCATTTAGCCAGGCAGCAGTATCAAAGACAATAATGATCTTGGTCTTATTTGCTCCTTTTCCACAGAAAGGCTTAGGGAACTGTGGCCTTCTGGGTATTGACAGATTACAGCTACCAGCATCTCTCTCCATACTGGGTAGGACAGATGAGAATTGCCATTTGGAAGTCCCAGTGTTTTTCGCTCTTGTTCTGTGGGTCATTATACAGTGGTGCCCCGCATAGCGACGTTAATCCATTCCAGGATTAACGTCGCTAATCGGATTTGTCGCTATGCGGGGGGGGAACCCATAGGAACGCATTAAACTCCGTTTAATGCGTTCCTATGGGGCGAAAACTCACAGCTATGCGAAGATTCCCCCATCCGGCCGCCATTTTCGCCACCCGGTAAGCAAGGGCAGGGCGCGAAAACAGAGCGGGCGGCCATTTTTTCTTCCGGCGGCCATTTTGGAACCGCCGATCAGCTGTTTTTAGAACATTGCAATGTGAAGATTGGTAAGCGAAACGCTTACCGATCATCACAATGCGACGTTTTGCCGTCGCTATGCGGATTCTTCCTTAAACGGTGCGCTCGTTAAGCAAGGCACCACTGTAGTTTATTATCTACATGTGACTATAAAATTGGAACGAACTAAGTGCTCCACTGACTGCACAGTTCAAGGACTACGTTAATAAAATATCTGAGCCAAGCAACTTTACATTAAACTTTATCAACACAGTGCTGCTTCCTTTGTTGATCTCCTTCAATGTTATATGCATCAACTGAGGTCATTTAATATTTCTTCTCATGTCAATACCACACAGTATACACTTCTTGAAGTGCATAATACATAGATTTCCTACATAGATTTCCCTTCCAGAAAGTCTTGTTTCTTTTTCATTGTAGTATTGATGCATTGTAGGTTTCTTTGAAAGGCAAAAATAATTTGTGTACACTTTAGCTGCTTTCAGCAGAGGAAAAGTAGAAAAAAAATATTTTAAATAAATTAATGTTGAGATTTTAGTTAATATTATCAAGAAGTAGCTGATCTTAATGGCAATCGTCTTAAAAATATAGGCTAGTAACCTATTTGAACTTCCACTAAGTAGAAAGTCCCACTAGCATATTCATGCAGAATTGTGCTGCTTGCACAACCATTGCTACTACACAAGCAGCACAATTCTACATTACTACATTGGCAAACTTTCTGCTCCGTGAAAACGTGGTAGAATACTTGACAAAAGACTTTGAACACACTTACTTGGATCCTCTTGTTCTATTCATTTCCAAACATTTTTCCTCACACTGTCTGAAATCCTCTTGCTTGGCCCAAGACACAGCTAAAGTAGTCCCACTGAATCAATGAAATTTACAAAAGAGTTGAGTCACTAAATTCCCACTGATTCAATGGGCCTACTGTAGTTGTGACTTACTATGCTAACCAACAGGATTTTTTCCATAAAATATTCAGTTTCAGAGAGAAAATAAATGTTTATATTTAAAACATGTACACACATATAAATTATGCCTAAAATAATCTGCGCTGTTATTTGTGTATAAATTTTAAAAAGTGAAACCTAATTTAACATTCACTTCATGTCTATATTGTTCGAGTGGATAGTCATAATCATACAGACTTTGATGTAGACAGAATTAACCTTTGGTCCATCAGTTCATCTTCCAACTATGTAACAGAAGAGATCCAAATTGTCATCCAGATGGCATATTCCAAACATTTGCAAACTTTTCTTTTAAAACCAGAAACATTTAATATGCTGTGCTAAGTTGATTTTAACCTCTTTCCATCCTCCTTGTGTTTTTAAGATGCTACTGTGTGAACCCTTTACTGGGACAAGCTTTGTCCATCAAACTGTGGCAATACCATACCAAGAGGCAGAAGATATATGCAAGATGGAACTGTCTATTGACAATCATACTGACTCCCAATGCCATATCTAAGCTGACTGGCTATCAAAGTGCTTTCTTTCAAGACTCCTCATGTTGCTTCCTCCAAAGCAGAAGCAGATTAACAGCAGTCCCTACATTATGTCATCCTGTTGGCCACTGACTGCAACCTATGGTCTGGAAACAAGTTTAAGAATCTTGGTGTGTGTGTTCTTTTTTCTCTTTAAAAAACAACAATGAAACTTTCTTTTTGGAATCAGATGCTACATTTCCTTGATTCTGTGCAACTGGCTAGGAATTAATTCCACTTTTCACAATGATAACTTTAAAATGTGGGAACAAAAGGACCTGCATAAAACTTTCCAGGTGATAAATTCAATGTGCTTATTTCTATGGCTGCAGATGCTTCAAGAAGGCACCATAAAGCACAGACTGTTGCGTACCAAGCTATACAGTAAGTAGCTCCCTCATGTCGTCAGGGGATTGGTTCCATGCTCCTCTATGGTGAAAAATGCAATTATAGGAGAAGTTATTACATTTAGAGATGGGTGTATTCATATTTGTATGCAAATATGAATGTCCTCATTCAGCTGAAGTTAATGAGGGTCTCCTGGGGCCTAACCGTCCACTCATCCTTCCAATCACTCCCAAGCAGCATTTTCTTCCCGCTCGGTTAGCCACTCCTGGCAGAGGGACGGAGGCTGAGTCTCCCTGCAAGGCTGCCAAGTGGCTAGCCGAGTGGTGCTCTGGAGTGATTGGAAGGAAGAGAGGGGCCAGCACCACCAGCAGCTCGTTAACTCCAGCTGCATGGGGATATATACAAATACCCCCACTTTCTAATTACAGTAGCAAAAGTTATAGATAGCATGGTCTCTGGCTCCCTCTAGTGGCCAGTTCCAGTAACTTCTTCATTAGAAATATATTTCTGGGATTTGTTCTTTTAATATTTTCAGACTGTGGGTAAGTGAATCAGCAGATATTGATCCTGTATGTATGCAGGTCCTACTATATATAAATTATTTACTTCTCCCTTTCCCTTTTAGTGCCTGATATTATAAAGGGTGTTTTGCAAACTGTATTTTGATTGTTTTAATGTGAATATTTTTCCATAAATGAACCTGTGTTTGTTGTTATATATTTTGTTATGTACAGTGGTGCCTCGACTTACAACCATAATCCGTTCCAGAAGACGGACGTAACTCGAAATGGTTGTAACTGAAATGCATTGGAACGTGATTAATCCAGGCAAAAAAAACACAAAACAAAACAAAACAAAATAAAGCAGACAGCAAGCCCGGTCAGAAGGTGCTGGGGCTTTAAAAACCAAACCCAAACCCAAAAATAAACAGCAAAGCAAGCTCCGTCACTGGGACTTAAAAAAAAAAAAACAACCAAAAATAAACAGCAAGGCAAGCTCTGTCGCTGGGGCTTTAAAACAAAAACAAACAAAAAATAAACAGAAAAAAAAGCCCCAAAGGCGCGGGGATTGAAAAAAAAAAAACCAAACAAAAAAAAACAAAGGAGCAAGCCCCATCGCAAGGTGCTAGGGCTGCCAAAAAAATCACCAAAAAACAAAATGACAACACAGCACAGAAACATACCCCCAGCTCAAAACCACGCTGCAAAACCCACACAGAACAGTTTTCAGAAAGCAGCACCTTACCTTACCAGGCAGCCTCCTCCAATCATACACTCTCTAGCTGCTGGGGTGAAAGAGCTACAAAGAAGCAGCCTCTTCGCCACCTACAGTTAGCAATTTGAATTTCCTGCCTTTTCCCCCTGCCTTTTTGTATTTGTAACTGGAAGCTCCAGCCGCAAGTTGAAGCAAAATTTTGCGGTTGGAGCTGGTCGCAACTCAAAAGTGTTCATAAATAGGGATGGTCGTAAGTCAAGGCACCACTGTATTCCAATTCCCTAAAGCACATGTAATTAGGATAGGCAACTTTAATGCCTGTATTGGTCCTGTATAGGTGTATGGTTCAACAAACCATACACCTAATTTTAGAAGAATTCCCACAAATGAAAGATAGATATTCCAAGGACCATGCTACAAATATTCAAGGGAAAATCTTTATACAAATGATTTTGCAGGTTGACCTCTACATTTTGAATGGTTCCCAGAAGGAAAACCAAATGGAGGAGTTCATTTTTATCAACCACATGGGTACCAGTGTAGTTGATTACATTGCAATATCCTCATCCATGGTTAAGTTAATGACCAGATTCAGAGTAGACTCCTATCCAGCTAGTGATCATCAGCCTCTAATTCTTCAAATGGCAAGCTTCAGAAGAGTAGGAACTTTGAGCCCAAACACACCACAATCCACATTTCACCGTAACTGGGCAAAAATGAATTCTAGGGATTTAGAATGTTTATGGCAATCTGAGAATATGTATGTTTTGAAGGACACTCTGGTCTCCTCAAAGGATACCAAAGTAACATTAGACTGCTATGCCTAGATTTTGAAAGCCTTCCAACCTTTGCTCTTTCAGGAAACCAGACTAAGGTGTAGGGTGGACAACCTCTGGGTTGATGATGGCTGCAGGCAATTTTAAAAGGAAATTACAATACAACATAGCTTCCTGAAGAAAAACAATATACAGTAATCGCTTTGCCACAGCCTATTTGATGCTGCAGAAACAGTATAAAAAGTTTTTTGTGAAAAGAAGCTTGAGTATACCACACAGCAGTGGGCTGAACTGGCACAGGCTCTCGAAAGTAATGACAGGTCTAAATTTTGTCAACTTGTTGCAGCTACAAGGCACATCAATGAACCCTGTACTGACCTAAAAACTCCACACATGAATGGGAGCTACACTACCACTCCGTGTTTTTCAATAAGGTGTGGACATCTTTGCAAGCAGATGACCAAGCACTACCTTACTGGACTCTAGTTACCTGTGATGAGGTAGTTATGCTGATAAAAAAACCTAAAAAGGGGCAGGGCTCCAGGAAGAAATGGCACCCTACCTAATTTCTTGATTGATTATTCACACTGCCTTATTTGCTTCTATAGATGTATCTGGGAAATTCCCCTCAGAATGGGCCAAAGGCACTGTAGTACTTATCTATAGGAAAGGTGTTCGATCAGATCCTAGGAACTATCATCCTATAAGCCTCCTAGATGTAGTAATTGTATGCTAGACATCCTTTGGATAACCTAGAAAACTGGTTGTTTTCAGAAAACCTCACGGCAGAGGAACAAGCAGCATTCCCCTGTGGCAGGTCCACAATTGATCACTGCTTTTTATTGCAACATTTAGTGGGGAAATATACATCTCCCCCACACCATTCACTTTTCATGGCTTTCGTAGACTAAAGCAGCTTTTGACTCTATATCCTGACCTCGCCTCTGAAGCAAACTGAAATCCTTGAATACAAATGTTAGGTTGCTCAAGAGAATCCAAGAACTATGAGAATACCACCCTACGAGTTAAGAGTCAGCTCTGACGGCAATCTTTCAGACCCAATTCCTGTAAATAAGGGAGTATATTAGAAGTGTTTATTAGCTCCCCTTCTATTTCATTTGTATCTAAATGATATAGTGCCTTCCCAGCCCCCAATTTTTCCCACCCCATCTAAAGGGCAGGAATATATTGGTACTTTTGTATGCAGATGATGCAGTTCTCCTGTCCTACACCCAAGTGGCAATGCAAAGACTATTAAGGGCCTTAGGTGCCTATTGTGTCAAGGAACATCTCCAGGTAAATGACACCAAAATCAAAATTTTAGTTTTTGGGAAAAGGAGAAATAATTACAGATGGCAGCTGAACAGGAAACTGCTCGAACAGCGCAACTCATAAAAATACCTTGGAATAACATTCAAAAGTTCAGGAACATGGTCAGGCTTAGAATCTGAAGCTCTTTCACCATTGCTATTTACTGTTTTTCTTCTGGATCAGGTGGAAAAATTGTGGCACCAATAAAACAACTGTATTAAGATAGACTCCTTCCTCAGATGCTCTCTGAAGCTCCAGTGTGGGCTTTTCCAAATATCACAAAATTAGAATCTGTTTCCTACTCCATAGGAGGTGACTATGAGGCTGCCCAAGAAAATATTAAAAGAGTATTGGTGATATTGATCTACAGACTACCATGGCATCTGTAGCAGCTCCAACAGGATATACAAAGGCTTTTCCATGCCTTTGTGAAAGCTGCCCCTTTATTTGTCTCTCATTAGCTCACATGAGCGGAGACAACTGCTTACCAGGTGCAGACTGAACCCATTACAGCTGAAATAGATTCAGGGAAGTTACATGAAACCAACATGGTATATCAGACATCACCCAGCAGAGTGCTCTAAAATGGAGGACATGGTACACTTTCTAACATAATGTCCTCTGTACACAATTCCAAGGCACCAATATCTAAAGCCCTTAACAACTGGAATCAAGAACACTTTCCCTCTATGCACAGTCCTATTCCAGATAACTGGCAGACTACTATATATTCTATAGTACTGCTAAATTTGTTAAATGAGCCATGGAAAGGTGGAACACTGCCTGCTTCATAAGTTCAAGTTATTCTCACATCTTAATCCTTTTTTCTTCTTTCAGAATGCTATTACATTTTATTACTATTATTTTTTCCTTTTATGCTTGTTTCTATGTACTTGCGTGAGATGCCAAATGCTGTTTTATGACTGGTTTAGTCTATGTTCTTGCATAAAGCCCGATCGGCTTTATGCAATAAAATATTAGTTATATATTGAGCACCAAATAATTTTAAATAAATTTATTATACCTCATAAACTTATTTTCCTAGTTATTTCATTGTCCAGTAATTGTGCTACTTGAGTGCTTACATCTTTTAAGGACAAAAATCTCTGACCTTAACATACCTTTTCTTCAACAAATATTCTTAGTGAAGTTAAAGTTTTTCTTCTTGGCTTCCCCACATCAGTTTGCTGTGTTTCCTGAACAGGAAGGTTAACATACATATCTTTTGATTCTTCTCCCTAAGAAATACAATGAAAATACCACCTGTTCCTGTCTCAAATCACTACCCCCAAAATTACACTATTAGAATGGAATACACAGAAGAATCCCCTCCCTGTAATATTTCATTAAAGGCAAGTCAAACCATTTAAGCTTCACATTTGCCAGTGTCAGGCTAGCACAACTAATGGGCAAAACTGAACATCATGTTGAAAAGTGGACATGCTTTCAAAAAGACTCTAAGCAACCAGCGATGATGGTTCGTGTGAGATGCCCTTTGTTGGCGACCTGCTTTTGCCTGATCAGAGGCCAGCTCAAGGGCT